CCCCCCCCCCCCCCCCCCCCCTCTCCATTCCTCTTGGCAACAGCTTGCTGATTAAAAAATGGGCCATACCCCAAGTAAACCCTTCTGCCTATCTGCCTGACCCCAGCAGAGGAACAAGTTCCCCCACAGCCACAAACACTCACATTAGGATACCGCTAACATCTGCACACAAACCTCAATGCAATATCAAAGCTTCCTGTTGCAACCCCTGATCTTACTGCGTGTGTGAAGGAATGCTATATGGAAACAGAAAATGAATAGGAAAAATACATAGCAAAGTCTTGAAGTTGAAGCTGAAAGTTTGGAATGAATGAATGAAGATATGCAGTATTTGCCAAATGAACAGCAGTTTTTTTTTCTTAATTTGTTGTCTGAAACTGATGGGAATACAATTTCACTTCACACTTCGTGTGACATTTCAAAATTTGGCAGTAAATGTAATTCACAGTTGGATGGGAGCGTAGCTTAGCGTCACTAACCTTGGAGCGCGGCGGAGCGCGGATGTACCATTTACAGTCGACGGCCTCGGTGGCGTCAGCCTTCCCGTCTCTGGTGATCTGATGGGACTCAACGATACCTTCTGGACCAACCATGTCATACTGACAGGCTGAAACAAACGCATATGCATAAACACACACAAACACACACATGCACACATACTGTATGCACGCATGTGCAGTTCAAGCTAACAAATACCACACAGGTAGCCTACACACCTGGACATACTTTAAAAAACTAGAACGCAAATAATACAAATAACTGGAGGAACCACAGCATGAATAGGCTTATTGAGATAAAAAAAAAAAAGAAAGTGTGAATGTGATAACAAGTGAGATAAAGACAGAAAGAGAGAGAGGAAGACACAGAAGCAGACAGAGAGACAGAGAGGGAGTATACCTACAGGGCAGAGGTGGGGGGACTCCCATGTCTGCAAAGTCCGGATCTGTGGAGAGAGCAGAGGAGGGGTGGGGGGCATTCATTATTAATACATGATTACAAAGTCAGGATCCGCACAGAGGCAATACAACCAGGTGTAACAATGTACAGAGGAACTTCCAGAGAAAACTACAAATTGCTGCCCTCACTCCTAAATTATTTTTGCTTTGCTACACCCTCTAGTTTGCAGTCGCCTTAATTACAGAAAGCTGTTGGCATGTTGTCTTCTGCCCGTCAAATTCTAGCCTGACGCTGGTGCTAGATGAAAAGTCAAGAATCATGAGGGCTGTACCAAATTGAATGACAATCACTTTTTGTTGATATATTTCAGTCTGGACCAAAGTGGTGGCGCTAGTGTGGCTAACAATGTGACACGTTGCATGTGCATACAGTCTGCATTTGATAGAGTAATTAAATCCTGTACTTCTTCACACATATACATCAATGTGTGACTTTTACACACATTGAGGTATATGTGTGTAAAAGTCTACTCCAGGCACATGTGAAGTCTGTGGGAGTTTTCTAACCAAAGATAACCTACTCTAAATGACTCTCATGCTAACCAAATGAAGAGAATAAGCTCCCCACAGTATCCCCACTCCCCTAAAATTATGTAAAATACCCTCATTAGAGCTATTAGTTCAAATCAACCACATTTACTGGCATGAGAGGCTTTGCAAGCAATTTTCAAGGATCAAGGTCAAACTCTTGTGCAGAAGATGTTCTCTTTGGGTTCGATTCAACATGCTAATCACTAGAATTTGCAGCTGTATTTTACAGCGACTTTGACAGTAATTTGGCTTAATTAGGTTTAGTATAATCGGACCAGATACATTTTCTTTGACAAAGTATAGCTGTACAAACCATGCGTTTTCTTTCTGGGGGAATAACAGCCAGTCCACTGTCACTGTTGACTTATAGGACCGATTGCAAGTCTCGATAAGAATACAAAGGGATAATATTTTTTGGACTGACACACTAAATATGAATAAAAACTCCCCTGAGTTTATCTTTGTTCCCTTTTGCACTGTCTGAACAAAACAGAACTGAAGCTTAACAGAGATAAATGGAAGAGCAAAAACATTAGAAATATCCTCAAGAAAGGTTTCAGAAAATTTTAGCAGACCGTTGGGGAGTACGAATCTAATCCTTAACCAAACTTCAACACGCCGAGTATAAGAAAAGAAACTTTAACAAAGCTGAGGCCATACGTTTTGTCGGCTAAACAAGATAAGGGACGCCTCTGCTGAAGTTTTGAAAGTCAGCTTGAAGCGAAAAGGTTTTTTACATTTTTTTTTCTCTACAACGTTGCAATAAATTACATCAACAGGCCCGGCCTCGCTGAGGTGTGTTACCTCGTCTTGCTAGTGAAACATCACAGTCTAGTCTCTCATCCCCATAGATTCAATATCGCTCCTCGGATGACTTCACACGAGACAGAAATTGACTCTTGAACAAACTCTCCCGTTCTTTCACGTCATCAGTTCTGCGTGTGCTGTGCAGTGATGATTGTGCGTTTTTATCAACCACGCTCGGGCAGAATGTCAGATATATCCGCTTCTCCAAAGAAAATGACTTTGAAATAATTCATTGTGTGTATGTAAAAGTGAATTTTGATTACAGTTCACCTTAATTTCATAGTTCATAGCCTTCCTCTCACATATTTAAAACCTTTACCTAATAGTTCTGCCTCAGCTTTCAATGCGATAAAAGGAAATAATATATAACTATTAAAGTAGCAGGACAATTGTTCTTCGATCAATTTCTGAGCTTGTATTCCACTATAACGACACGGCAGGCCACATTTGTCGCCATGCTATGACATAAAAACACCCCTCGGCATTCAATACATTCCTGCTGATTCCATTTTCTTTCCAGCCTAGTGACAGAGCAGTTGTGCTTTCAAAGATACGCCGTTAGCTGTGAGCTCCGGGTTGCATTCATTTGAGGACAGGGCCTGCGGAAAATGGGAAATACAAAAAAGGCTTCACATTAAATCTGATTGTTCCTTGCCAATTCGAGACATGGCTACCAGTGACTGAGCTCAGTGTGGAAAATGAGGTCTGATTGCACAGCGTGAACACCTTGCCTAAATGTCACTGTTATTTTGTCTGTATGTATGCCCTAATTGTTCTGTCTAGACATGACTCAGAGCTTTACTGTGTACGCAGGACATGAAGGGCAAGACCTGTATACCTGGCAACACTGCACGTCCTGGTGACAGGATTTTTGAACGAAACGGCACTTGCTGCATGAAACCTATAATCAAAGGAGAGCGATTCTTGGCCCGATTTCAGCGGTGCTTTGGTGGGGAATCAGAAGAAGCCAACCTCCACTTAAGGTGAAAAGAGGAAGAGCCAGTTGAATGCCTGTAACAAATCTAGCAAGGCTGCAGAAATCCCTCTCTCCCTGGCGCTTTCAGTACCAACATGGTACTTAGTAAAACATTCATGTGAACACAAAGGCGGTCAGAGGAGGTGCTTGGAATCTACTCAAGAGCTTCTCCTGAGGCTTACACTACGATTCCCTCCCGATTAATTGTTGCTTTCAACTAAGGCTCAAATGATACGAACTATAAAAAGCTGAATAACTATTTAATTTGTCTTTGGGAAAAGCAATGTTTGCTTGTACAGTTCAAACAAATCCAACCACGTGGCCATTCTCCACATGGAGAGGTGATGAGCTGTAAACTTAACACGGACAGTGACTTTTTTTCTTCTTCCAAGAGCAAAGTGCTGCTAACTACTGTAACGCTTTCTCGTTTATTAGTTCCCACAGAAGTGACTCAAAGCATGACATAATAATTTCAGCTGTAAACCTTTTGAAGAAATTATTTTTTCAACAGAGTTAAAGAAGATTGATACCACAGTATTTGTACGATAAATCTAAGCTGGAGCAAGAAGACGGTTAGCTTAGTTTAGCACTAAGACTGGAAACAAAGTTAACAGGTAGTCTGGATCTGTCAGAGAGTAATAAATTAATTTGAAAAAATTATATGGATTAAACAAACAACAATTAAACAAAAAATACAATGTGTTATTTTGTGAGTTTGCTGGTAGGTGGATTGAGCTTCTGGGTAGCCTGGCTAGCTGTTTCCAGTCTTTACGCAAAGCTAAGCTAAGCTAACTGTTTCCTGGCTATAGCTTCATATCTAACATACAGATATGAGAGTGGCATCAATCTTTTCAGCAAGAAAGTGAATAAGTGTATTCCTCAAAAATATCGAACTATCCCTGCACATTTTCTTTTAGCATAACTACAGCCTCCTTCCTATGTCTTTCCATGTTGCCCTCCATGGGATGCTTCAGAGTGTGTAGCTAGCAGGTAGGCCGACAGGGAGGCAGACAGGAACGAGGGATGAGAAAATCAAAGTGGAAGACAGTTAATGAAACAGTGACCTTCAGGTCAGCTGTCCTGGTTGCGCCAGAGATTTATTATTGGGCTTTGGCATCACTTAACCTACCATGAACACAAGGCCAAGCAACCTCAGAGGAATAGATGCAAGATGTATGAAGGCACACACACACACACACACACACACACACACACACACACACACACACTTTTGATAAAGGCTATTCTTAACATGGCAACACAGGTCCCACTAAAAGGGCTGCTGTGCCTATAAATGCCTCCCATGCAACCCTTGACCTTTTTAGACTCTTGCTCCTGAATTTCAATCAGGTGAGTTCCATCCCCTCCGTCATCAATCACCCCCTCTCTCCTTCGCTGCCCTCCTTGATTAATCGATTAAATTAATTACATGGATTGATAAAATGATTGATGTACCAAATAAATGACCAAAATAAATGATGTGTACTATTTTCACAGAACGGGATTCAACCTTGCCTTAGGCTAAGCTCGGTCACTGTGTAATATTTGATCGAACATGAAACTTCAAAAGCATCGCCGTATGTTGCTACGATGAATAATAAATACCATAATAACACACCAACGCGAGCACAGACAGAAATTTCACTAGAGCACGCTGTATGTGCTTCCATTGTATTCACACTGCAGCTTCTCGATAGTAGTCGCCACTGCATTGTATAAATGGCTTTGCCTGACTGAGCTGAATTCAGAGCACATCCACACAAGGCCACACCCTCTCTTCTCTTCATAAAGCTCGACTAAGAGTGTAATCTTCTGGGGGCTTACTGTATTTACCCTTTGCAACACAGAAAATGCTCACTTTAAAGCCAGAGACTTTAAGTTGCCCCGCAGCACCGTTCATGCACATATTGAGCTCCTCAAAGAGCAAAATGCTGTCAAAAATGTTCACACCAATGCAAGTATACACCTGTGTAAGAAAGTGCTGCCAGCAAAGTCAGAGAAATGCACAGAGACAGAGCAGAAATTACAGAAGTTATGTGCATATGCCCCCACAAGAAAACACAAGCAGCTTCGAATGCCAGATTAAATTTCCTCATCATATTGCTTCAAAAACAGGTTTATAATGCTTGCTGTGGGGCGACGGTAATTCAGTTTGGCAGCCAGACATAAAAATAATCATTAGGAATGTGTTCTAGTAAAAAAAATCTGAAACAAATGATGAGTAGGCCCTGATTGGTTTCGTTTGGTGTAGTCTTTTATTGAGAAAACACACGCACGCACGCACGCACGCACGCATGCACACAAATGAAACAGAGCATTGCAGAACTCTCAGGAGATGTAAATTTCTAGTAACTGTACAATCCCAGATGTATTGCTCTTCATAATACAGGCACAATGTTTTATTAATGAGACACACTACTGCTCATTCGGAATTGAACATTAGGCTCCACTGCATCCCTTCAGTATTAGCTGCTAAGCCCAATGTGTGTTAAACAGCATATGAAGGAGACTCATGATTATCAATGTGTGGCAATATTCCAGGAAACCAAAGGACACAAGCATGCAGAGTGCGCACACATAACCAGCCCACACAGATAAACAATTTCCCAGTGGCCTCATTTCCTCTCAGCTGCTCAGCAGTGACATTTAAATAAGCATCTGATTAACAATCGC